TACCAGTTTTATCTTTTTACCCTGATTGATACGGTTTTATGCTGGCACGGATTTGTGACAGCCGGAGCGAAAGGGTTAAAGATAAACAGAAGTTATAAACTTCCTCTCCTCATTTTGGTTGTACTGAATTTTGCACGGGTAACCCCTAAGAGCCACCAACCTTCATTAACAAAGTGGTCGCTCCAGAAAGGTATTAATATATAATGCTGTATTAATATATTCTGATTGACAGGAATATTCATCTTCTCTAATTGTAAGTGTTAAGAAGGAAAGTCACCAGTCTTAAACATTTCGAAAAAGAGACATGTTCAAAAAAACATAGGCGCTTAGACGTGGTTAATAAGGCATACAAAATTTTCTGAAATCCAGCCAAATATACGAAAACAAATATCATAAAGTGATGTTACAACGCTTACGTTGCGGATGTTTCTTACGTATTTTTGTCTCATAAAATTGCAAAAATTTTTAGATGAATTACCTTATACATGAACAAAGGTAATTTATAAAGTGGACAACAAACCATTTTACTGTGAAACAGGAAGTGGTCTCTTCAGAGAAGTTTCACTATATTTTACAAAAAAAAAAACTTTTTTAAAAAACTCTAAAATTATAGAAAATTTTATTTTAAAAAAGTTAAAATTGCAAAAAAGGGCTTGTTTTTTGGTGTAATATTTTTCTTTTTTCATGTAAAGTTTTGTAAGAGCTTAATTTATTTTCAGCGAAGGAAAAATATTTTGTTCTCAATGCAATATGTAGCTCTCAACGAAATAATACCTTTTTTTCTTTTTAACGGATTGCAGGCGAGTATATTTGCGAATCGAAAGTGAGTTGGATGCCGGTCGATGCAAACGTTGGGAACTAAGTAATGAAAAATAGTATCGCATTGTAAGTGCAAAGTCAGCTCTGGTGACTTCATTAACCCCTTGGGGACGGGTGATTCAGAAAAGCATTCGTACAAAATCAGAATCAAGTTGCAATTAAATAAAAAACGGTAACTTAAATGTAGTCGTTACTAATTTGACAGACTTACTTTGCTTTTATTTTAATTATTGTTAGTTTAATCATATATATAATCAATGTTAATTCAAAGTATAACTAAATAGTTTTATTTTGAACAAAGTAATGGTGAATTAAATAAATCAAAAAATTATAACTCCGCCCACAAATAAACTGCTAAAGAAATACTTTGATTACCAGTTTTATATTCTTACCCTGATTGATACGGTTTTTTGCTGTCACGTATTTGTGACAGTCGGCGCTAAAGGGTTAAATTACAGACTTAAAAAAACCGGATGTAGTAAATTAAGTTTTGATGTATTATCTATTGTTTATATTTAGTTACGTCAAGCCGCTAGTCCATTTGTATCCCTCTACCAAGCATTTAAATTAAATTTTTTAAAAAGAGTAGTAAGGAATTCGCATTTAAACTAAATTGACAATCTCTAATGAAACTACCACTTCAGCGAAAAATATTGTATATGTGCAATTTCAGAATTAAATATAAGATTTCAGAATAATAATATATTTTGATAACCATAAATGTCTGTGTTCTCACTGGGAAGAATTTAAAATTAAGTTTTTTGTTTTCATCTTTGTGATGTAGTATTGATAGACTAAGAGAGTTATATCGGTTAATATGTCGTATACTCCTACTACTATGGAATTTTTCAGAAATCTTCTTTCTTTGAAATAGCAAAGGAAATATCTTAAATTTTATGTATTAGATTTAACAGAAATTTGTCCATCACTATTTATAAATAGTTTATTCCGATATAAGTCAAAAGACTCGTGCTAATGTCCTTAAATTCTCATCTCAGTTTTATTACTAGTACTTTGTTTTTTTTTTTACAACAGGAAAAAATAGTTTTCAAGAGACTCGATTATATTAGTTCACACTATATTATATTAGACACTGGACATTCAAGATTTTTTCCAAGATAAAAAGCTGTTTCAAAATTATTAGGACTACCAATTTTTACTCTTCCAATATTAATAATCGTTCCCACCGATCTCAATTTGAGGAAAACACCTTTATTATTCACTACATTCACCAACAGAGTTTATTGCTAGCGAATATATAAATATAGTGAGTATTACTTACAAAAACCACAATTATTACTTAGCTAAAAATAAAATATTGTACAATTCATTTTATTTTATAAACTGGTTGTAAAGTAATATTTTATTTTCTTAAATTTGACATTCTTTTAAGATAAAGACATTGTTTTGAAATTTTAGATAAATTAAGGTCATAGGCGAAAAGAAATCATTATAAGTTCAGGGTAGAAATATTTAGAATGTATTTGAAAAATCTTTTTCATATCTTACCAATTACATACTCAAAATTAACTTGAATACAGTGGCTATAATAATTACATACCCTCCAACTGCTACGGAATTTCCGTAGTTTCAGAAATCTTCTTTTCAGACGGTAGCAAAATTAATGTCTTAACATTTTAAAAAAATTAATTTTAGCGTAACCTGTCCACTATTACTTATAAAAGTGCAGTCCATATGGCTAGATTCTTAAGTTCTGATAAAAGTTTTATGAGATATCCATTTGCTTTAAAAATTTCTACTTTGGTTTGCTACCACTAGAAAGAATTATTTTCAAAATCCTCATAAGTTGGAGGGTATGTAATTATGATAAAGTCATGATGCATCTTTCGTTTCGTTGAACAGCCGACCTAATTTTGTGTTTAACCCCACCCATGTTCAACCAGAGCAACCTCCCGACAGCAAATATGTATTTTAAAGTGGTAGTTTATCAATTGTGATTCTAGGTTAAATAATTTAAATTTAGTAGATTTTTATCAACCACTATTTCTAAATAATTCGTTGGCTTATATAATTCACCACTTTGTAGTACTCATGCAATCTCTACTGATGTAGTCTTTCATCTTTTTAAATCTCATTTTCATTCCAACCACAAGGAATTACCTCTTAGACTCTCATCACACGATGAAGGGGTAAAGGGCCGTTTCGGCCTCAGGCACCCCGAACCACCTACCAGACCAGTACTTATGTCATGTTATACCTTTCAAAAAGCAAGTAAAAATAGTCAAATATTTGCAAAATTTACTTTGCAGTTACTTGCCGCTTTTTAATTATTTTGTCGTGTCCGGAGCAGTTGTCATCTCTGTTCAACTAATGAGACTAATCCGGATTTTGCGTTACTTGGAGAGGAAAACCACGAATACCTCACTGACGGCAAGGGGATTCTAGCCATCACCTCCTACACCAGAAAGCCTCCACACGGTCTCCTATAAGTAGTCTGCGTAGATTATTTAAAAAGCGAACAATTTGTGCGCATGAACCCAAGTTTTATTTTAAAAGTACTTGAGAGAAATTTATCATATATATTTGAGAATTGAATCTGTAGTGGTTGACAAGTAAATAAAACAAACCAATTATATTCATAAATTAAACAAATTTTTAGACCTATATTTGCTACCACTTTCTGATTTTTAATAGATTTCATATTTAATGATTCTTTCACTAATTGGTTTATCTCCATAGTGATCTGATCGGACTACCAAAAATAACCGTGTGGAGGCGTTTCTCTAGCCCATGATCCGACTACCATTCAGGATATTTTACGTCGGCAAAGTGGTCGGTGCGAGAGAAGTTTGGAATTCGCATGGACCAGCCATCACTAGGATTCGAACCCGGTTCATTTTATTGAAGGGCGAATTTGTCACAAAATTTTTCGGAATAAGACCACCTCAAACAAAGAAAATTAAATGGTGCTATTTTCTTAAAAGTACAGTTAATCAAAAAAATGGACCATATGAATGACTTTTGATCCTAATGATCAGATTTTCACTTTTTACTCAATCTTAATGGCTAGAGGGGGTGGTCTCAAATATGTTAATTAATTGGTGTAGACGATATCTTAACTTGTAAAATCAGACACAAAAACTTACTTTGAATAAACATAACATTTTTGAAACGGATTCGGATTTTTGACCCTCAAAATGTACGGGGGTAGACGCAATCTGGGAAATATGGTCCTCATAGTTTAACACGTCGAGCGCCTCGTCAGCCATCGGTGGCTGACACTGGACTTTCCATTTAGGCCGCGACAACGACAGGTGGCTGACACTGAAATTACATTTAGGCCGCGTCAACCACCAATGGCTGACACTGAACTATTAGATTTAGGCTGCGTCAACCACCGGGGTCTGACAATGAACTATTACATTTAGGCTGCTTGCTGACACTGACCTTTCACATAGGCAGCGAAAAACAGCTGGCTGACAACGTATAACATGATATAGAACTATAAAATTCACACTTTTTTATGGAATTGCAGAAAATGTATTCAAAATTTACTTAGTTATTGTGATTCTTGGTTTAGTAAATTCAATTTTGTAGATTTTGTCTCAAAATTGGGTCGGCTGTTCAATGACGATTATAAAATAAAATATATTATATTAGTATTAAACAGCGATTTAGACATTGGTTTAATGAGAATGTTTTAGAAGCATTTTTACACTAAATTTAAGCAAAATAAATAGTAAAAGGGTTCATATATTTAAAATTCGATTTCTCATGAGCTAGTCTACCTATTTTGTTCAAATTTAGCTTCATGCCGAATAAAATTACATTCTTTGACTTGATGTAATTTGTATATCTCACGAATTAAAATTTTCGACTATAATTAAAGGAAATAAGAAATTATTACAAATAATTATTTAAAATTACTTTTTGCATGGAATTATCTTTAACTAAACAAATTTTATAACTGTGGGTAAAAATTTTCGAATCGTTTAAATAATTCCCAAGATTTGGCGAAATACGAAACTCATGAAATTAACATTCATGTATCCAAAACTATTTCTTTATGGCGAAATACTGAAAAGGTAAAATTAACTTTAGGGGATCTAAACTAAAGGCTTTGAATATGCTAGAAAAAGTTGCTAATTTTAATCTCGTTTAATAGATTTTTGCTATTTATGAATTAATTATGAAAATTAATTGTTGCCTTTATTTTCCAGATTCTAGCGACTTTTTTGATTTTTCTAACTCTTACTGCCAGCCAAAAAGCCAGCCACAAAAGCTACGATTGGCGGTCATCCAGTGGAAGCCTAGAAGATTGGCCAAAAATCTCTTCTCTTATACCATACAGTGGAGGACACGCGACTGAAAGCTATCCAAACATGGATGATTCCGAGAGTATGCAGTTCGATTCCAGGTACAACCAATATGACATGAAACCTTATATGGATTCATTTTTCCATTCTGAAGAACAAAATTCACCCTATAAATACCTAAGCGATCCATTAGATTCTTCTTATTCAGTTCACCACGATGACAGTCCTATGAATATCACCAAAGCAAGAATTGGCGGATTCGCAGGATCTGGCGACACTCTTGGGTTTGGAGCATATGAGCATCCTGTCAAATCCAGAAAGGAAGAAGAATTTTTTCCTGAAATGCCAAAACTAGACGCAGAATTTTTTCCAGAAATGTTTAAATTTAGTCGGAGAAAGCACAGGATGCCATCACATCATGCCCATGATCCTATGCTGATACATCCAATCCCTCCTCCCTTATGAAAAATTTTATTTAACTGAAATGAATGCCAAAATTTCGAATGAAGGCCAATTTTTTATTGTCATATTGACAAATGATTCTCATTTTAACATTTTTTTGCTTCAATGTTATTTAGTGCATTGGATGGTAATGATGAACTGTCATGATGTTTTAAAACATTTTCCTAATATATTAAAGAAAGGTTTTGTTCATAATATGTGTTTCTGTGTTTCATTGATTATACAGGGTGCTTCGTAAGAACTGTTTTTTACACTCCCTCATTTACTGTACTCAACATAATTGCTACATTTGAATACTATTGTACTAATTATTGATACTGATGATTTTCAGAGATTTCACGGTACTGCGCTATCAGTCTACGTTTACATACCATACATCCGCGCCAAATTAGTTTCGTAAACCGGGGAGCCTCCACACGGTTTCGCATAAGTAGTCTGCGCAGATTATTTAAAAAAGCGAACCACTTGTGCGCAAAAACCTAAATTCTATTTTAAAAGTACGTGAGAGAAATTTATCATATTTATTTGAGAATTGAAACTGTAGTGATTGACAAATGAATAAAACAAACCAATTATATTCATAAATTAAACAAATTTTTAGGCATATATTTGCTACCACTTTCTAATTTTTAATAGATTTCATATTAAATGGTTCTCTCACTAATTAGTTTACCTTTATAGTGGTCTGATCGGACTACTTACAAAAAACCGTGTGGAGGCTTTCAGTTATAAGAGGCGTTGGATTTGACGACGATTCCGTTACATTAAACATACACATATTGATGCAACCAAACTCTATGTTATTTTCCCTGACTAATAAATTCCTCTGAAAAATAAAATTACCTTCTTCGTCCTCTAAACTCTTAAATTGCAAACACATTTAGGGTAAAATATTATTGAAATCTAATACACGGATGCCACGGGCATATAAAATTGTAAAAAGAGGCAGAAACTCAATAAATTTTCATATATTAATGATATCTCTAACCATTCAATCGTGACTTCCACTGTGGCTTAGATTTCAAATTATTCATATTTAAAATAAAAATATTCACTTTCAATGTAATTAGAATTGACAGCAACCATTGATGATACACACTCTATTTTTCCTTTGCCAATGTATACCAGTTATAACCAGTCACCGAAAGGTGACCAGCAAATGAGTAAGATGCCCAATACTAAATTTAAAAAATTATGTAGTTAAAAGTTGCTACTATTAACACGCTAAATCAACGCCTCCTACAACTGAAAGCCTCCACACGGTTTTTTTTAGGTAGTCCGATCAGACCACTACGTAGGTAAACCAGTTTAGGAATGAGCCCTTTAATAGGAAATCTAGTAAAAATAAGAAAGTGGTAGCAAATATATGTCTAAAATTTTTTTTAATTTATGAACATAATTGGTTTGTCGTATTTACTTGTCTGTCACTACAGATTCAATTCTGAAATACATATGATAAATTTCTCTCATTCACTTTTGAAACAAAAATTGGGTACATGCGCATAACCGGTTCGCTTCCTAAATAATCTGCGCAGACTTCTTGTAAGAATCCGTGTGGAGGCTTTTTGATGTAGGAGGTGATGGCTAAGTTTACATGACGGGCTCGTCTGGCCACAGGGTAAATAACTACAAGCTAAATTTGCAAATATTTGACAGATTTAATTTTAAAAGGTTTAGTATACATCTATGAAGTGGTGAATGATATAAGCCTATGAATTGCTTAAAAATAGTGGTGGGTAAAAATCTACTAAATTGAATTTATTAAACCAAGAATCACAATTAATAAACTACCCCTTGAAAATACTTATTCGCTGTCCGGAGCAAGTTGGCATCTCTGTGTATATTAATAAAACTATTTTTGTGTGTTATACATTGCATTAATTTCTTCAAACCATTTCAGTTACGATAATAATATTAAAAAGAAATTAGAAATTTACTCGAATTATGTGTTTTTAATAATCTTGGCTTCGTCGGTCACCGGTCACCCGGGTGGCGCTACGAACAAACTCACTGCCGGTCACTGGTCACCCCATGGCATTCAACGTGTTAATTTCTTTTAAAAAAGTTTTTGAATTTTATTAGTCAGCACTTCTTGCATTTAGATTCGCCAGTGGCAACCCTGTAATGGCAACGCTATTAACAGACGGAACAGAGTAACAGAAAATACTGTTTGACTGCCGAAGGAAACATATGGAAAAATCATACCTGCCAACTTTCACTCTTTCCGAGAACGGATTTTCAGAGTGGTTGTAAAACAATAAACGAAAAACAATCTGACTCAAAAATATATTTCTGTTTTAGTCTCGTTGAAAATCGCTTGGATTATTATGCTTTTATATATTTATTGTAATTATTTATATGTAGTGGTGGTGGTGGTCAATCTCATTTATAATTGTCATTGTAATTCAAAAAATTTATTGGAATAACATGAGTATAGCTACCACTTTAAATATGAAAATAAAATCTTCCGGAAAATCGTATGAAAAATTGAGAGGTAGTTTTAAAAGTACCATCGGAAAATCAAACTAATTTTGAATTTTTTTTTTTTTTTTACCTTCTGTCTAATTTACTAGCAATTTGGTAAACTTCCATAGCAATTTTATTTCTTTTACACTTATATACTAATTTGTAACCCCTAATGCCCCAATTTAGTAAACAAGGATTCTAAAAATTCTTATAATGCTGAATGTTCATAATTTTTTAAACTCAAGTCGTTAAGTAAATTGGATTTCCCGAAATTTTTAGCTGATATTTGACAATATTAATTTAGCTTAAAAATCTTCACTTTCTTGTAGTCTCGGAAAATAATGAGTAAGCTACGAAATTTTCCTGAAAAATAATCATTTTAGAATAATTTATGAATGGAAAACAATAAATTTGTTGGAATAGTTAAATATTTATTAATATTCTTCTTTGAAAATGCGACCGAAGTCAAAATCATACAAGAATATATACAGTAAAAAAAGAAGAAAATTATTTGGATGCTTTTAAGCCAATAACTTTAATTTGAAAAAGCAACTGGAAAAAAAAACAAGTTAATTTTTAAACTGTATGAAAGTAAATATAATTAGTTTTTTTCAACAAAAAAACGAACTGTTTTGCATAAAATTTAAAAAAACGAAATCTTCCTTAAAACATTTTTTTACATGTTACACGGCTTTTTCAAATTAACAAACAAATAAATTGGGAACTGTAACATTTTCTTATATTTCATGTAGTGGTCTCAAATTAAAGAATCTGTTTTCCAGTAACAAGAATTCAACAGTTACGGTCTTTAAACAATTACAAGAAAGGAAATAAAGAAGAAAACTGTGAAGCTATGTTATTTCAAAAGAGTAGTTTCCTTATTTTTTTTCCTATTATGACAGACGAAACATATATTCCTTAAAAGTAACTCATACAAACCTCCGTTACCATCCTTACCATTAGTTTTACTATATGATAAAAATCTCTCCCAATTAGAAGTTTACTTCATTTTCTATTCAACAAACATTATTACAATGTCATACATTATGTTTTACAGTAAAAATCATTACTGATAAAAGCGCATTCTCGTTGATTAAGTGATAGAAATATTACACCAAACAATTGCAAGACATTTAAAGTTGTAGACAGAAATCAAGGAAGTGTTAACGATCCATTCTTTGAAAAAGGAATGTCTGAGAAAAAAGGGAGTTAAAAAAAACACTTATCGTTGAGGAAAATTTATATTTGAAGGTCATTCACATGCTGGACTAACTGCTTAAACCAAAAAAGGTGAACTTATTTTGTCGGAATTAAATTGTTCCAACATTCGCGTGTGGCAAGCAATTCATAAAATATGAGATATGAGGTTTCTTCTCAAATAACACCTTGAAGTTTACGAACGTTCATTTCGAAATGAGATTTATTCGGTTGAAACTTGAGAGAAATAGGTCACAAATGCCTAATTGGAGAGAATTGTGGGTTCTGCTATCACCCAATCTATGATTTAGTAATTCGTACAACTTGCATGAAACAATGGGCAGGAAATGAGTTAATTATCAAAGAAATATAATATGCGTAAAATAATAAGTTAATTTATGTCCCATATTTTATTTACAAATAATTTTTATATATCTGATACAAATTTTCTGGAAAAATTTATTTTTATTAGTTTGCTGTATTTTTTACTATTTGTGTTATAGCTCGCACAATATTAAGCCTTTAACGCAGAATTTTATTAAACACATATTTGCATACCTTTTCATTATTTTGCATTAATTTAGGTCAAAATAAGTGAAAAATCTAATATTCAGCATTTTAATAACTTATGGTTATGAAATACAACTTAAAACTTTTATGCGTCTAACGTAATATATTCTAAATGCGGCTCACTTTCAAGCACTAGTTTGTACTTATTTGCAGTTATTTAAATCTAAGAAGGAACATTAAAATTGAAATTTTATCATTGAAATTTCTTCAATTTATAAAATCATCATTGATAAATTTTCGAATATGAATGAAAATTAAAATAAATTTCCAACTACTTTTTTTTAAATTTTATATTTTAGAGCAAATATAATTCCGATAGTTTACAGACTTTTTTTAGTTTTCTTAAACTGTTTTTTATAATTAAAAAATATCAAAATATATTTCTGCTCTTAGTTTGTACGTCAGAAAAAATATATATATAAGAGGAACACCGGTTTCTGATCTGTGTCAAAGGTTTAAGTAGCGAACCCATATTTCTTTTAGAAAACTTCAATTCTGCTTACTAAATTTTTTCATTCTCAAAATTTTTTTGGCAGAAATAAGGCATTATTCGCGTCACCATAACGTATAAACATTAATCTTTGAGTCCCATGTGGAATTCGGAGGTTTCCCTGGCCTCATTCACAATCATCATATATTTCTGATAGTTTGTGTTGATATATGTGGTACGCAGTGGCGTAGTTTTAATGTATGTTCTAGGTTAGGTAATTTAAAAATATAGAGAAAACATGGAAAATAATAAAGATTACTGAAAAGAGAAGGAAAAAAATTATTAAAATAAAATACTTTTTATTACCTACAAAGTATTAAACAAAGTATTATTACTTACAAAGTATTTAAAAATATATATATATTAAAAAGCCGGAAAACCAAAAGAAAATGAAAAGATATAATCTCTTCATCAGCTCACACGATTATATCCGCAAAAAGGAGTGCTTTCTAATATTGCACCAATATAGCCA